TCGTCGCGTCGTACTACTAACTACGACGTACGACTAGTAGTAGTGTCGTGTCGCGACGTACGTACTACTATATTAGTTATTAGTTAGTTTACGTTTATTATATATATATATATATATATATATATATATATATATATATATATATATCACTTTTGAATAGGGAAGAACCGACAAAGGACCCAACATGAGGCTGCACTCCAAGGTCAGTCTCTAAAAGAGATTTGGTTTGATGCTCAAAAATTTCATAAAATTAGATCTCCTTGGGCTGATTATGGATTATATATTTGATGGACTTTAGACTTGGGGAATCATTTTAAGTTGTAGGGGAGTGTTTTAGATGTTGTATGGAGCTTGTGGGTGCCATGTGCTCTGCTTTCCCTTGAGAGCTACCATCAAAATTCAGCTTAATACCACTTATTGCTGGTGGCACGCAAACAAACTGTCTATGCAGCAGTGGCTCCATGCAATTCTGTGCCAATGTTGGCAGATGTCTGTTACCACTTTTTGCACTTCTGATATCTTTTTCCATATTTGCATTTGAGCCTCATACCATGGTCGTGCCCCAAAATATACTGATTGTTGCATTCCTAAAGGCTTTGTTATACTAATATGGGTAATGTTATCCATACCTGGTACGAGCTTCCAGCAACTATGGTCAAATTTTGTTTGAAGCAGCCAATTGTTGCCTGCTCTGGTATCAGGGTAAATTATTATTTATGACATCCGATGCGGTCGAGATTACTTGGTAACCTAACCTTTACTTGATTATTTATTTTTCCAAGAAATAATATCAATAGTGTAATATAGCTGGTAGTTTGATGTTTTTCTTCCCTATATACTCATGAGAAGGTTGCTTTGGGAGTTATTTCTAATGTAAGTCTTTCCTCATGTGATAGACATATTTACTAAAGAACTTCCCAGTTATCACTTTTTGTGACTTAAAAACAGTGAGCCATTCATTATACTTTCATTGTCCATCTTTGTTATTAATCATTTACCTTTGTTATTAATCAGTTTTTGCAAGCTCAAACTTGGCCTGTAATTCAGGCACAGCCAAAACCAAGTCTGCTGTAGTAAATCAAATTTTGAGATACTATTTTTTTTTTTTAATTCAATTTTGGGAAAAAATTTCGTGCAAACCATGAGATCCATTCTTGACATGGTCTAATGAGGGATACACATTTCACTATGAAACCTTCGAATCATTTGTGTATATTCCAATTGATTTAAATTTAAAAACTGAAAATCTGGGCTTTAGTTTTTCATAAGAAACTCATTCATTTGCCGAATCAAGTTGACCTGGTTGAGTCGAGTCAGTTCTGATCAAAGTCTGTGAACACTTATGTGTATTTCATTTCTTTGTCATGCTCTTTTGTATCTCCCTTGGTAGGCTAGAGTACATCTCCCTTAATAGGGTAGATCTCTGTATTTGAGTTTATCAAAGAGCACAATTCAGATATTTCATTCTTTTAGAGGTGTCTTCTAACTGGGTTGAATGAGCCCAACATCTATATGGCCCTTATTGATTTCCTTTAATTCATTGTATTGCATGAACAGACGGGCCTACATGTATCTAGGTACACGCCCATGTGAATTATTATTAGTATGGATGTGGGACTGCATCAGTTGTCTCACCTATTGGGAATCTTGGAATACATCAGTACTATTGGTTCTGAGTTGCCAAGTTATAGCATATCTTGGTGCTTTATATTCTCCTTTGAAGTACTTGTTTAAGAACATTTAATCATTATTGCTTGATTATAAGATCAATCCAGATAAACAAGAATTATTCTTCTTTTTCTGATAGTTATTGTTTGAAAGATGTAATGCAATATTCTACTTAGATATTGATGCAGCCCAGAATACTGCTCTTGAGTGTCTAGAAAAGAGAGATAGTAAGAGGAACCACAGAAGAGCAAAATAGTCATTGAATCTATCCTTTGATATTTTATTTATTTATTAAGTCATTTTATTAGTTGCATAATAGTGATTTCTAGAGTCTTTTATGTCTTTTTATTCACTTAAAAGCTTTTATAATCATAGTTTCAAAAAGCGGACCGCCCAGCGCCTAGGCAGATATCCTTGGGCGTCCGCGTGAACCCACCTAGGCGGTTGCTCAGGGCCTGCGCCCCACCCAGGGGCGGAAATGCTGCTCCTTGAGGTATTTTTTGGTCATTTTTTTAATACTATAAGGGAAAAAATGTGGGTTTTAGGTTCATTTGAAACCTAAAACCCATTAGGGGCTATTTTAGAGAGAGAAAACCCAAAAAAAAAATACTTTTTACTGGGCAGCTCAGGTTCTAAGCGCCCGCCTAGGCGCTGGGCGGCATTGACCTCTCCAATCGCCTAAGTGCTGCCTAGCGCTTTTTGAAACCCTATTTATAATAAATGGCCATGATTAGATTAGATGGATGGTCAAAATTTATTCTTTTCTTATATAAGAGATGTACTCAGACATAATGAAGTATCTTTTTATGAACTTTATTCAAAACCCTAGAGCAGCTAGTGCTCACTCATATATCTCTGGTTTTTGCATCGTTTTCTATTTTTGGATCTTCCCTATCGTCTTCTTTGCTAAACCCTAGCCCAAGCTACTAGGTTTGCCAGGTTGGTATCAAAGCTCGACAATCTGTTTGTTACTATAGCATTGTATGAACAGTGTTGTAGCATCGATTTTTGTGCCCTAGCAACCAGGTGTCCACATAGAAGGAAAGGAGGAAAAGTGGCAACTCATGAGAAGAGATTGCAGATATGAGGAGATTGGTTGAAACTTTCGCTTTACATTTGGCACAAATGGAAGCCGTATCTCAGGAGGATTAGATCGAGACCGATGAGGAATCCATAAATCGATTCCATGATCAAGCTCCTAGGAGTGAGGTAGCTGGTCATACTAATAGGGATAATAGAAGGTGGGAGACCGGTCTCAAGGTTGAGAATGGAAGTCTATCTGAGGACAACTATACAGAAGCTTTGTTCTCACCAAATGGTTCTCAATATTGGCATGTTGTGGACTGGGACTTACTGCCAGTCTGTGACAATTGATTGGATGAAGATTTGGGTGTTGAGAAAGAAGTGAGTGATCATAGCTTTAATGGTGATCCAATTCGTTAAAAGGATCAAGAAGATCTTACCATTAAGGAGGATTTTCTTGATGCTCCTATTCTTGATGAAAAATAAGGTAGATGTCAAAGAGTTGTTCTCAAAATATTAGAGGTAACTGGTTTCTTAGTCCTCAGAGGAGAATGGTGTTGATGGAGGTAATGATGATAATGTTCTTCTTCAAGTTTTACCTGAATTTAGCGTATCATGTAAGGTTCACACCAAAGAGTTCGAAGAATTTTCTCTTGAACCCTCAGCTTGTCAATTTAATATGGGAGATTCTCTCCAAAGGGTTGTTGAAGTCATTGTCTGTGAGAGAACTCAGGCTGAGTTGTTGCTCTGCTTTCATGGAAGAAACGAATCTGTTCCTTATAATCTTCCCCCAAAACCTAAACTTAAGGAGCCTAATATTTTGAACCCATCCTCACCAAATTCAGCATGTAGGAGCCTCATAGTTCAAAAGTCTTTCTTGCATTCTAAGAGAAGAGTTTCCTCAGGTATGTTTATGGTCGATAGTGTTGCGCACTTGCATCGCAGCAGTGTTAGCTTTCAATTTGCACAAAATATGATGGTTAAGATGTATATAAGCGGCACCCTAACCTGGAAAACATTGATCTATAGTTATTTTGAATTGTATATCTTTAAGGTTGAGTTTCAATGTTTCCAAGAGATGAAAAATTATGGGTTTTGGTCTTCATTATACCCTTGCTGGCATTGTTACATTGAAATGATGTAGTGAACTTTTGTATTCTCCTATACATCTATCCAATGTTGACAGAATAAAAAAAAATGTAGTGGACAATTGGAGAGTATGGAAGTAGTTAAACAGGCCTGTGCTAAACCTTTGAAACTTGAGTTTAGCTGTAATCTTTGCACCAGCATTGCACTCACATCAATTCATTGCAAGATTGGCAACCTCCTTTTGGTGAATTCAATGCTCAACCTTACAAGTCACGGAGGTACGATTTCCTATAAAGTTATTTTGAATGGATATCTCCCAAGACGTATAGTTGGAAGTGTTTCAAGGCTCTTCCCTCCTATACTTGTTCATGGTTCTAGACCAAGTTGTTCTGGATATCATAAGTTGAGCCGGCACGTGATTGGACCGCTTGATCTGGTGCTGAAGATTAATGACAATACCTAAAAATTGAAGCTTCCCAGCTATCGCACCTCCGACATCTTTAATGTCAAGAATCTCCTTTTCTATCGTGGTGATACCTCTGACGACGAGCCACCGAATTCAAGGGTGAATTCTTTTGAGGAGAGGGGGACTGATGCAGCCTAAGGGAGATATCAAGAGGAACCGTAGAAGGGCAAAATAGTCAACAAATCTGTCCTTTTATGTCTTTATTTATTTCTTGAGTCATTTTATTTACTTAGGGGCATAAAAAGTAATATCTACTGAAACGGATGAATGAGTTGAGAAACCTGATGGAAAACGGTGTTTTATGTTCTTTGATCATCACAATGTTTTATGTTGTTTGATCATCTTTGATGATTGGCTCAAAGAGCTTCAGGAACTGCTGTAAAAAATGTTTTTTAGCCCGGAGAACTTCCTCTTTTATACTGATTCTGTAATTTCATTTCTTGTATAAATTCTGTGGGGCCTTGTGTTGCATGTATATTTGGCAGATTTGAAAGGCTAGAAGATTTAATATGTTGACATGATTTTTATGTGGCAGACAACTTTAATACTTGTATGATTGAAATTTCCATCGTATATAATCATGACTAGAGAAATAAATTTAACCCATTACTAAAAAAATTTATTCACCCTGATAGACCTTGATGTTGATTTATTGATGGCTAGGATCATCTCAACATTATGATGGATAGACAAGGGTCCCAGTAGTTTTTAAAATCCTTGTATGCATTTTTCCATTTTGTTTTCATCTGTGCATGCTTTCTGTGAATTAATTTATATATTTCTATGTGCCTCTATTTGTTGTGAAACTTTGCTTGCATACAAATGACTTTGTAGGTGTGCGTGTCTACAACGAACCGAAACTTCCCTGGAAGGATGGGGAACAAAGAAGCCCAAATTTATCTGGCCTCACCTTTCACGGCAGCAGCATCAGCTCTTACTGGTTATGTCACTGACCCAAGGGAGTTTTTACGATAAAGCACTGCAATCTCTATCCATGGGCCATGATCTTCAATACCCAAATCGTTTTTTGATTGGTGGAGGGGACAGCACGTTCTTTCCACTAATCATTGTGTATGTAATTTTGATGGAGTTTTTTGGTTGGGGCACAATTATTTAAGAGAGAGAATTTAGTCATAGTATCAGGTTTGTGGTCGAATATGAGTTTGAGATATTCTGTATTTTCACTTCTTCATTCTTGGTCCATTATGTTTGTGTTTCTCCTTTTTATTACTATTTAAAATAAAAGAATATGTATGATTTTGCGGGCAGCCATCTCTCCTCTTTTTTTCCCTCGCTCCTTCCCTTCCTATGTGTGTTTGGCCTTTTATTCTTCCTGCAGCCTTTCAGGAAATAAGGTTGCATATGTGGTGATCCTGCGGGACCAGGATGTACATTTGGTCTGGTGGGCAAACCGCCTAGTTAGGAGGTTTCGTATTGATTTGAGATTTTTTCGATGATATTCGTAAGTGATGATGGCTCCTAAATTATTGAGGAGTTACTTTGATATCCATGTCCATGTCATCTCCAGCAATGGAGTGGTGCATTTTGAAACATTCACTCTATAGTGGGGTGCATATTAGCACATTGATCTTCCATGTTATCATAGTCATCTGTTGGGTGTCTGCCTTTTATCAACAAACAAGAGGCTCCATTGGTGTGCAAATACCATGTCCATAGAAAAGAGAAACCCTTATAATTTACTCCCACAGAGATATTGTTTGGGATGTGTTCCACAAGAACATCAAAGTGCTAGTCAATGACGCACTTACAAACACCAAATGTGAGGGCACATATAGCCTCTTACCCTGTGCGCACACTGTACACTCTTGTTCTGCACCCCGAACGCCTACTTGTGTAGATTATGTTCCATCAAAATTTTGAGAATGACTTTTGATTCGCCTTCTGAACAACCTAGTATAAAAGAGATGAATATTTGGAGCTCTTGGAAACTGAGATCTTTGCAAGTGATCTTGATAGAAGACTTGGAGCTTAAGGAAACCTAGATCTGATTGTCCTTCAAATTGGAAGTCTACGCTTGAGTGGCCATTTAATTTTGGAGTAGTGGAGCACTTTGGGGTTCTGAATCCTTTTAGTTTCGGTATGAGAGCATTACGGCACTTTCGTATTCTGAATCTTTTTACTTTCAGTATCAGATGAATGGAGTACACTTTCTCACATATGCAATTGCATTTTATATAGAATTTAAAAATGAAGCCTCCGTGTAAAATTTGTGAACAATATGGGCCACTGTGTAATATCAAAAAAGCTTTCCGGTCTGTATCGTAATTTTCCTAAAAAAAAGTACTTTATGACCATTTGTACGGTCTAATTGCTACAAATATTGAAGAGCTAATATATCATCTATTACATAAAAGCCACCTCAAAATCGAGTAGTATTTACGTTTGGTTCCTGTGAAACATGAAAAAATTCTAAAAGCGTGGGAAAAAAAATTGGTTTTCAAAATTATGAAAAAATTCTAAAAGTGCGGGAAAAAAAAATGGTTTCAAGATTAGATTTCAAATGAAAACTGCCATTTTATATATGGCAAAACTTTTTAAAATTTGGTACTTTAAAAAACAAAAAAGCATACAAAGGGACCATTTACTTCTAGTATAAGTCAAACTTACTCTTGTCTATCAGATTTTAAATCGTTGTAAGTATGTCATTGACTAGACTCAAAGTTCAAAAAAAAAAAAAACATCTCGAATTTCATGATACATCTCAAGTCATCCAATTTGACATCTATTAGCTAGGAGTGTTGGGACATCTTTATAAATAGTAAATAATCTCATAGTGTACAATCCCTTAAAAATATCTTCGACCATATCCACTACAAATCTTTTATTTCGAAAATATATGTATCAATATTTAGTTCATTAAAATGTACCACTCATTCTTGATTTCCCATCCATTATGCTGATATCGTTCGATAAAAGACCTGCCCGTCACTAGTAAGGCCCTTCTCTTGAACTTTTCTTTTTTCTTTGAATGCTAACTTGTGTAATACCCTTCTCTTGACCATGGTTCTCTCTCAACCTAGACAAAAATTGCACTCACCAATTTTGCCTCGTAAGTTGTTCACAGCACAAGTGACCAACATCGAATGCATCATTACAGCAAGTTATCATAGAATGACACCCAACGTTAGGAACGATGGAGATGTTCATTAGTTGAGAAGTGATTATCGAGATCAGAACTGCCCGTCACAAGCCAAACATACCCAAGGCACATGACCACAAGTTCATAACAAAAAGAGCCAAGGAGGAAAAATGTGACTTGATGTCTACTCATCTATATAACCGAAGTTCTTTCTAACCTAAGTTGCCAAATACTTGCTAGCACAGCAAGTAGAAAGACACCCAATTTTGGTAATGGTGGAAATATTCATTAGTTGAAAAGTGATTATCAAGACCTGCCCACAAACCAAACATAACCAAGGCACAAGACAATAAGTTTATTAGAAGAGAGCCAAGAAGGAAAATGTACCTTGATGTCTCCTCATCTTGCTTACATAGGAGGCAATGCTACAGATGGGGAGTCCATGATGGTTTATGCAGTCAATTGTGAATAACTTATCTAGATTGTAAGCTAAGTGGATGCTTGGGTCATGATTGAGCATTTCTCTTTTATAGTTCCCCACTGTATTAAGTTTTATGAGTCGCGTCAGTTGCAATATAATGGCACACACCATCCAGTTGTCTGACTTGTTTGGAGCAAGGATTGGGCTTTCACCATAATGAAGCTGCCAATCCTGTTACTCAATTGCAGCTTCTGGGGCAAGATCCAGTTATAAGCTCTGCCTCACCTTGGTTGGAGATTTTTTATTATCTCTCTAAATCTAACACAGAAACCTATGGAAGAAAGGCCAATGAATCCCTGAACTCACCCTAGGCTAAGATATAATGGCCAGTCTAAGCTTACCTTTGAGCCAGAGAGAATTGGACTAGACATACCTAGAGGTTATGTAACCAAAGTTGCCAAATGGTTGCCAACATTGCATGTTTTTGTAGATTGATCCCGAGTTACGTAATGGTGAAGATCTCCATTAGTTGAATAGTGATTACTGAGGCCATAACTCCCACTGCAAGCTAAACAAAACTTCCAACGGCAAGCTAAACAAACCCAAGATACAAGACCATAACTTTATAGCAAAAATGCAAAGAAGGAACATGTTACATGATGTCTCCTCATCGTGCTTACACACAAGGCAGTTATCGGAGATGGGGAGATCTTGATACCTTATGTGGTTAATAGTGAGCACCTTATATAGTATCGCAAACCAAGAGAATGCTTGGGCCATGTTTGGATCCAAAAAGGACCAAACCTTTCAGGCCTCAGAGTTAGAAAGGATTTGATTTTCTGGAAGTCTATAACTCGATTTTAAAAGTACATAGTTTCGGAGTCTGTCGCCCATGTGAGAGTATCCACCGCCACAAGATCATACATGCAGCTAGGGTGGGCGAGAAAACTATTGAGCTATCCTAGTAAGTGGGAAAAATCATGAACCTCTGAGCCTCTCATTCTCTATTGCCTAATTACTGCCTCCTAATTGGTGTTGAACCCTGGATCCAAGAGCTATCTCCTAAAAGATGGTATTTTTACAAGCGACAGTAGCAAATAGACTAGGAAATTTAATGCATAATGATTAGCTCCCAATTCATTCATCTATCCAAAAACTATTGCTTCTTCCATTGCCTATTGCGACCCTAGTCTCACGGATAAAGATCTCCTTGCACTTGTTAAGATCTCTTCAACCACCAAATTGCTTTGCAATTAGACTTACACCATAACCAACCTGCTCACAGAGTCCCTTCTACATTTTTTAAGCACAGCACTCATAGGTGGTTAGGCTCTTGCTACTACCACTTCACTAATAGAGCCCAGTTCATTGCCTTCGGTCTCCCTGCAAACTTGTCCCATTATCTAAAAGGCGCAGTTTGTATAGAGCGGAGGCTCTAAACAATCAAAGTAGAGCACACCTTCAAATAGTGTCGAGAAATGTGGTTTTAATACTGAAAATCTTTGTGACACCTTAAAATATATTTTTAATCCTTGATTATAAAATTTAAAGCTTCAAAAATAGTGTAGATCGAGCAAATCTATGAAAACTTGAAAATCTTGAAAATTGACAGTCCAAAAATGTGTTACAAGATGTACTTTTTTGAAAACTTGAAATTAATTTTTTTCACATGTCCATGCTTCTTGATGTCGAGATGATCAATTTGAAAATATATGGGCATCAAATCAACCTCTTTTAGTGAAATTTTTGAGGCGGTCTCTAATTTGATTGTTTAGAGCCTCGGCTCTATAAAAGCTTTTTCCTTATCTAAATAATACTTATTACTTTCTGTTCACTCTCCCCACAAACTGATCCATCTTAGCTGCCACTGATGCTAGAATGGACACATAGTACATTGGTAAGTTCATGGGGTGAAGAGGTTATTCTACATCCAAGAGTTATGCATGTTTTCTCTTAGAAAATTTCCCATTATATCTATGATAAAATACATAATTTCTTAAAATATTAATAGAATAAAAATTTGGCACAAACTTTATATCCATTATAAAATCTACTGTATGCAATATTTTCCAAATATTGCCATTTCTTTGTTTCGAAAAGATATTATTTTCTTTTCCCATTTTAAACCCCAATAAACAGTTTACCTCTTGTATAACATGATCACAACTTGCCGCAAGTGGTTGTGATGTGCTATTAATCATGCAATGTGAAGTTTGAGAAAACATTTTTGGGATTTTGTGTGGAAAAGTAACACATTATTACTTGGTCATTTTCATATCTGATGGCTATGTGTGATTACGATATTTTTGTAATAAATAGTACCATAGACACTTTTATATCTAAATGTATAATGCCTAACAATCTTTCAAGGAATTATGCTTATATCATATTTGAGGTACTCATATTCATTATCCATAGTTTATACATTAAGAGGTATCAAGTTGTGTAACTGTTTTAAAAAAAAAAAAAGAGAGAAAGAAATAGGGTGGTGATAAAAACAAGTAACAAATCTCATATGCTATATATCGAAATTAAAATGAATGAATGAAGGTTTTTTTTTTATTGGTGTACCAGTGCAGATTCGGACCTCTATTCTTTGGTGAGAATAGAGTTCAAGATTTAATTCATGGAACTCGATAGCACTACCACCACGGCCCCAGCCCATTCAAACCACCATGTTGGTTTGAGTACCCTATTTTATGCACAAACCAAATATAGATTATTTGTCTTTAAGGAAAAATAATAATATATATTTTTGTTACAAGGACATCACAATTGGTACTAGCTATTAGATATCAAATAAGATGGCTCGAGGTATGTTACAAAGTTCGAGAGATATCTTTTGAACTTTGAGTTTAGTCAATGACACTTACATCTACGCGATTTGAAATCCAACTGACAAGAGCGATTATGACATCTTTGTATTAAAAGTAAACAATCTCTTTATATTCTATTCCAAAAAAATATAAGATATTTTGCAATAGTATTGTTTGTGTTGCGTAGACAAGTCATCCACCATTCAATTTTGTCAAAAAAAACAAGGATGCGGATCCTCGAAGGAAGGTAAAGGTTATGGATGGTTGGTGGGGCAATCCCAAATTGTGGGTTGGGAGCAAAATGGAAAGGGAACACTTAAACTTAAGGACATGATACAAAAGAGAAGTATAACAGGTCATAGGTGAAATACATTTTTTCCTTAGATTTGACTGACATAAGTAGTATATATTTAATGAGTTGCGAAGAAGTAAAACGAATGAGACAAAAATGAAGTTCATAAATAGGCTTGAGTTTAAGATATACTGCTCCTAATTAAATTTTTTTCTTCTTTTCATATTCATAATCAGTATTTAAAAAGGGCAAACCGCGTTGTAATCGTATCGGATAGGAAACCGGTGGGGATAGTCCGGTTTCACCAAAATATTGGGAACCGTGAGGTACCTATTGGGAACCTGGGCCAGGTTTTGTTAGAGAACCAACCACACCTTACATTTTTATTGTTTTCAATTTTTTTGTTCTTTAATTCTGTTTTTTCTTTTTGTATTGGCCGGATTGCCAATCCTCCGAACCGAACTGGTTTTCCACATGGGCAATCTGGGTCATCGATCCGCATTTTTAAACTTTGTTCATGATGATCGAGATCTTCAAACTATGAATTTTAGATCCAAAATCCATCCATAAAATAAAAATCTAAGGATTGCCATTAGAGTCCAACCTTGACATGCATCTGCTTGGCATAACTAACCTCTCTCTCTCATGTAAAATATATATCAACATCCACCATCCATTATCAAGATGGCCAATGGCAATGGCAATTATTATGTCCTTAGCACTTAACAATCCTTGCATAATAAAAATAAAAAATAAAAATAAATAAATAAATAAAAAGTAACATGCAATAGTTTTATAGTAATATAATGAACCATTTCTTTAAAACTGTTGGAGATGATTTGTTTGATCCCAAATATTGAATATACACTCTTTTCATTCTAATAAACAATCACAAAACATTTTAAAAAAAATTAGAGCCCCCTTCGCGGGTTGTTTTGAATGTGCTTGGGATATTTTCAAGCATAATGCGTTTGGGATATTTTCAAGCGAAGAAGGGACATCGTATGGGGTAAGTACGAGTAAATTATATGTATTCTGTTCTACACTTAGCACGTGATTCCCATTGCATGTAACATTCTCCAAAAAAAATCTCTATTTTTTTTTGACAAATATTACTATCTTTATTAAAACTAAAGAAAAAAAATTACATTATTAGAAACAAGAGAAAGTAAAGAAGCACCACCCTTTACCAAACATCCGCCACATAATTATATATATGAGAGAAATAAACAAGGGAAGGTAAAGAAGTACCACCCCTTACCAAACATCCGCCACATAATTATATATATGAGAGAAATAAATTGTTATGGAGGAAGACATATTATAATTCGTAACCATAAATACCAAAGTTCTCATGAGATTAGCTATTCTTTATTATCACATTCGGATAATCACCTTCTATAAAAAAAAAAAAAAAATCCCATTGCATGTTCTTTTTCCCCTGCTTCTCTATTTCCCCTCTTTTGTCTCTCCTGCAACCTTTCTCTGTGCACTATACAGTGAATGTTAATTAATTATAAAAAGCTGAAGGCCACGAACCACCTATAAAACAGGGGGGCATCGGTCGGGTACGGGTCAAACTGGACCCAAATAGTTTTGGGTCTGGGCTTTCGTGTCCAAAGTTTGGACGGAAGGGTCAGGTCCACTGCCTACCTATAGATGTGAACTTTTTTTTTTTTAACCTTATTATATATATATATATATATTACTGTTGTACCCATATTACTATCTTATATTATTGACAACATTTTCAGTGATGCACAACATTTATGAATACCCATATTCTTTACTGTATTACGTAATAACTGGAAATTTTAAGAAACAAACATATTGGCAACATTGGGAAGAGTCACAATATCACAAGTTGGCTTTTAAACGTTAAATCTTAATCAGGCGGCTCAAAGTTTATGATTTTTAGATTTTATTCTATAAATCATTTTAAAGCAAAATTTGAGGCATTCGTAGATCTTACAAAGGTGCACATAATAATACTAATAATAATAAAATATTTTTAGTGATGAACGATTACTATAATACCTCTAAAAATTGTAGGGGCATCTTGGTTATTTATTTTTATAGAAAATATTTATTTTTTATATTTTCACTTCATCCTAATTTTATGATGGAACGTCTAAAATTTCATCCAAAAATTTTTGTAGAAAAAAATGTTGCCGTGACATTGGGGTATGACGATCATAGCAATTCGATTCAGATCAAACGGCTAAAAAATGGAGTAGGTCACATATAATTTAAGAAAACTTATAGATACTATGCAATTTCACTTTTCTACATATCCTATCCTCTCTTATTTTCTCTCTCTACCTCTCTCCACCCATCCTCTCTTTTTCCCTCCACTTTTCCTCACTTTTTCTCTATATCTCAGTACCCTCTTTCATTTTTTTTTTCTCTCTACCACTCACATGCCCATAATGTGGTATGACACATTTTGTGTTAGATCGAAAATTTTTTTACAATCCGGTACAAAAAAGTGCCAAACAGTGAAAAAAAATTCCGTCTGACAAAAACATGCTGGACCGCATTATGGGTATGTGAAAGTTAGTGGAATCCAATGCGGTTCGACACGTTTTGTGTTGGACATAAAATTTTTTTACAGTCTAACATGTTTTTGTGTTAGACCCAAAATATTTTTATGGTCGGACACCTTTTGTGCCAGACCACATTATGGGCATGTGAGTGGTAGAGAGGGAAAGAATGAGAGATGGTAAAAAGAGAAAGAGTTGAGGGAGGATAGAGCGATAGAGAGAGATAAATGGTGACGAAAGGTAGAGAGAGAATGAGAAAGGGTAGAGAGAGAAAGAGTTAGGGAAGATAGAGCGAAAGAGAGAAACGGGTTGAGAGAGAAGACCGGTGACAGTTTTTTTTTTGTTAATTAGAGAGAGAGTTTGAAATATATTTTTTTTTAATAATTAGAGAGAGGGATTTTAAAATAAAAAAATATAAAAAAAAGTAGGTTGAGCCAAAGAGAGAGAAAAAAAACAAGAAGGCATTTTGGTATCAAATTGGTTTGACCATTTCCGTATAAAAAAGTAGTGTTGGGACTTAATGTATAACAGAAAAATTTTCATGAGTACGATGCGTCGAAAAGTTGAAATTGTGATATGTATAATTGTTGGGGTCACGTAGAAATATTTCCCATTTTTAAATACCCAAGTAACATATACACTTATTATTCGGAACGGGTGCGGGGTTGGCTCTAGCAGGACTTGGACCTGAATCATATTTCAGTTCCGGGTTTTGGACATAGATCCGACTTACCATGCCAAATTTTGAACACCATACCCAAACCCAATGTCAGGTCTATCCATTCGGTCCTGGGTCTAACCTGATCCAACAAAAGGAGCGATCGCAAAAGAACAAAGAAGCAGATAATGGTTAGCCATTAGTTTTTAAGCAATCTGCTGGCTCTTAAACTACTGTAGCCTGCTTGCATGGGCGGAGAGGAGAGAGTGCAAAGAGAGATTGGTTTACAGAAGTGCAGAGAGAGAGACTGGGTTGCTCTTTTATGAGAGAGTAGAGAAAGAGGTTTAAAAAAGGGCAGAGAGAGATAATTGGTTCTCTTTTGTGAGAGAGAGAGTGTGGCTTGCACATGGAGAGAGAGATTTGTTTGGTTCATGTTGTGGGCCTCGAAATTCTGTGGCGTTTTCCTTGCATATCTAATATCTCTGGTATCTTTTCGTATAAATCTCTTGAAACCGATAGCGTCTTGGGGGCTTTCCGTATTTATCTATATTTGGAGAAAGAGTTCCGCACTCTGCTTTCTCACTCATCCTACTCCCTGCTTTGCTCTCTCACATACTCCTACCAGGGCCCAAGCAAGTGACCCTTTCTCTCTCCTCAAGAGCCACACCTACCTCCCATCCAAAACCCCTTTTCAAAATCAAAGAAAGAAACCCACTTCCTGCCTCCACACCAACTTCCACTTTCTCTCTCTTGATTGTTCTCAAAAAGACCTTTTTCTCTCTAAAGCACTTCTTTGTAGCAGAACTCACACCAGGAAAGCAATCAAACAGACCCACCATCGCATAAGAAACTGTCGCCATGATCACCACCTCTGCCTGTACCTACCCCCTCTCGATCTACCACCTCAAGTTCTCAAACCTCTCATCCCCATTGAGTATTAGAGCTTCTTCTTCTTCTAATCCTTCTCCTCCTCCTCGTTCTTCCTCTGTTTCTACCCATGCTATTGCCACTGAAGAAACCCAAGCTCCGACCGTCCCAAAACTCAACAAATACAGTAAACGAATAACGCTACCCAAGTCGCAGGGTGGCTCTCAGGCCATTCTCTATGGAGTGGGTCTCTCTGAAGAGGATTTGGAGAAACCCCAAGTGGGTATTTCCTCTGTTTGGTATGAAGGCAACACCTGTAACATGCATCTACTTCAGCTTGCAGAGGCTGTAAAGGAAGGAGTGATAGATGCAGGAATGGTGGGTTTTAGGTTTAACACAATTGGGGTGAGTGATGCCATCTCCATGGGAACTCGAGGAATGTGCTACAGTCTGCAATCACGAGACCTCATTGCTGATAGCATCGAGACTGTAATGTCCGCTCAGTGGTATGATGCCAATGTATCGATCCCCGGTTGCGACAAGAATGTGAGCATTTTGTATTTCTTCTCTTATATGTCTCAACATTTTTCTACTGTTTCTTAAGGGAACTATCCCCTTCCTATTTTGTCTCTCCTGTTTCATTTCTCGCTGTACTCCCTTTCCATGTTCTTGGATATTGTGAGTGTTTTTCACTAGTTGTGCTCTTGTGATTCTAATAAATTTTGCATCTTTTGATAAGCAGTTGAGTGCTAGATTAACTGCATTGAGTTGCTCGTATTACTTGTCCCTTTTGTTTTTTTCTTTTTTCGTTTATTGTAAGAGTTTTCTGTCCTCTATACTGCTTGGCCACCTGATAAATTTACATCTTTGGAGGACCAGTTAGTGCTAACTTAATCACATGGAGCTGAATTCATTGTTTTGTTTTCTCTCTTCTTTCTTTTTGTTGTGGGGCTGGTAAGAAGAGATTTGACCTTGTATACTACTGGTCTCGTGTATAGTATTAATGTTTTATTCTGTCATGCATTAGAGTTGAGTTGTGGATCTATCAAGTATTTGTGGATATTTCTGAATGATCATTTGGTGGCTTCAGGTTATTTTTGTTAGTCAAATTCCCAAAAGCTCCTATCTTACAAAAAATCCATGGAAAAATTGCAAGTACATTTTTTCATTGAGTAACTTCTAGAGCTCCTAAATCCCACTTAGATGCCCCTGATGTTGTTACCCAAAAACAGATCTTAAACAATCACAATGGATGGCACTTTAATCATGCACATGGACTTTGAAATTTACAACCACTGGTTTTGGAAGTTGTCATTATCGTTGCTCTTGTCTTGGATGTTTGTACTCAGGCTTGATACATTTCTGGATAAATTTCTAGTTTTAAATGTTTGTGCAGGAAAAAATGCCTCTCTTTTTTTGTATTTTCTTATTAAAATTCAGGGATGCATCTTTGGAATTTTCTATGATTATTTTTTTGGGTTATAAAGTTTTTGGGGGAAAGGCTAAAATGATGGTGATGATAAAGTTTTTTGGGACTTTACTGTTCTTTAGTATTTTAGGAGCTACTTGGATTAGTAGTTAGAAGACTTATGAAATTCTTTATTTTATTAGGGGTATAAGTGTCATTATGATTTCTTTTTAATTAGAACTTATAATTCAACTAGAAATAGGATTTATTGGGTTCTAAGTAAGGTCTTTTGTTATTAATAGGGGTCGATGCAGAGAATATAAAACTAGAATTAAATATTATTTGTTTTGAGAGTCCTAGTTAAAACAGAGAGCTAATAAATTTGGCTTGGTAGCTTCCACCATTATTTTCAATCAAATTTTCAGTCCTTTAATTTCTTTATGTAAATTCTCTGTTGCATTAGTTGGCATAAGAGCATGATCCTTCCCAAATAGCCATTGATCGACATGAATATGCATTTTTTATACAAAATCTGGACCTAAAGCAGGATTATTGGACACCCGTTGTCCCCTTTTGAACCTGGGCGGCTGCTGAGACGCCTGCCTAGGCCTGGACAGCCTATACCCCTGCCTAGGCCTGAGCAGCCTAGACCCTTGCCTAAGCCTGGGCGGCCTAGAGGTGCCACCTGCTGTTTTTGGAACACTGAAAAGAGCTGAAGATCTACTGCAAACTTGCTCAATGGCTGTTAGAGGAGGTCGAATTTGTGGTCATGGTGGTGTCAAATTTACAAAGGCTGGGAACTCAATAATCTGAAAGGAGAATTGGGGAATTGTCGTCAAAACACATAAAAAATGTGCGAATGGAAGTAGTTTGAAGGATCTGATGCACTCACTCTGATCGAAGTTTAGTTGTTCAAGACAAAAGTTGGTCATAGTCCTACTTATTTGAGTCCACAAATGAGAATTCATTCTGTAACCATGGAAAGAATGAAGCTTTTCTTCACAACTGGGTAGGAATGAGGATCTTTCTCATGAGGAGTGCCTAGTTAAGCCTATCTTTAATGAGGAAGACGAAGATCATATCTTCATCTCAGAGCTGCATGAGGAAACTTCTGTTGCATTTATGTCCTTAAATTTCAGTTCAAAGCACTCTTCTTTGATACCACTGTTGTTTCAATCTATGATGAAAAATGAGATCTTGTGTGTGTTCCAATTTTTGATGGAGAACCTTTGGAGGATCTTTCTCATGAGGAGTGCCTAGTTAAGCCTATCTTTAATGAGGAAGAAGAAGATCATATCTTCATCTCAGAGCTGCATAAGGAAACTTCTGTTGCAGTTATGTCCTTAAATTTTCAGTTCAAATCACTCTTCTTTGATACCACTGTTGTTTCAATCTATGATGAAAAATGAGATCTTGTGTGTGTTCCGATTTTTGATGGAGAACCTTTGGAGGAAGTTGAGGAAATTGAACCATTTCTCTTTGGAGAGAATGAGGAGAGGTTACTTCTTGAAAAGGATGAGGAAACCTTCGATGGGGAGGTGAAGAAGGAAACCCCAGGTGAAGATGATGATGATGACCATGGTAATGGCATAGAAAGCTAGGTAACTGTTAAGGTTTGGTGTAAAAGTCTTGGGTGGTGCCAAGGGGTATGGATGCTTCATACAAAGTGTGCGAAGAAAATGAGGTTGATGGGTTTGCAAGCTTGGTTAGGATTTTAAAAGTTGCAGTGGAGAATTCTGGGGGTTGAGAGCATTGGAATCAAGGTGGTGCAGAGGAAGGTGGATCTTAACCCACTAATCTTGGCCCTGGATTCGAAGAGAAAGGAAGTAGTTGATGAGGTGTTGAAGGCTGCAAAGACGAAGACTTAGTATCATTTTTTAATTATACATATCAAGATCCTTTTCTTGAGGGCTTCTTCATACCACCCATACCATTGGAGCCGACAAAGATTAAAATTGAAGAATTTCAAACAATTTTGAGTCAATGTGGTAGTTTCAGGCAGATTTTTCGGTGTTGCTTCCGAGTTTTAACATCTAGATGTATTCCAAACCATAGTTATCTGAATCTCTCCTCCCACCTCGTGTTTCTGGTTTCGAAACCCGATTCCGCGTTTCCATTAAGGAATCTCAACGGAAACCGTTTCTCGGAACCAAGGAAACTCGATTTCTTAATTTCGGAATCTCGATTCAACACATCTTTAGAAGCCATTTTTCGGAACCAAGGAAACTCGATTCCTTAATTTCGGAATCTCGATGCAACACATATTTAGAAACCATTTATTGGAACCAAGTAAACTCGATTCCTTAATTTCGGAATCTCGATCCTGCACATCTTTAGAATTTTGAACCCATTAATTGTGGGTAGATGTTTCCAAATATATTGAATCTGGATTCCAGCGAGGATTAATTATTGTTTTCACGTCAATTGGAGTAGAAATCTTCCTTAAAATGCTTCTAGTGGTTACAAGGTTTCATTATTTTACTTGTACCACCTTGAATAGTCTTTACTTTAAATGTAAAATATATCAGGTAAATACAACACATACAATTAAAAGTAAAACCATTTGTGTAGACATAATGCTATTTTGTCTTTATAATAATGAAATCAAAATCACAATTCAGAAATACTTGTCTTTTGTATATAATGACCTTAAGTTCAATAGCCAACACTATCACTTTAAAATTTGGGAAACCTTCTAATAAGAGACATCCAATATAGGTTCTAAAGATGATGAGGCTCAAGATGTGCTTGTGGCTTCCTTCTCTATAAAAATGAAATCTCGACTCCTGGTAGGGGTCGTCAAATGCATTCCATAGTTCATATTATTGTAAATCTCGATCTCAAACTGGCATGGATCTTTGATCCATATACTTCAAAAACTCGATTCCAAATATGTTAGAATCACGATTCGAAACAGCAACATATCTTTGTTCCACATATGTTAGAAACTCGATTCCATAGATGTCGGAAACTCGATTCCGCATATTAATGAATCTTGACTTTCGGAGTGTCAATTCTAGAGGGATGGGAATCTCGATTCCAAGGAGGATGGAATCTCGAGTCCATATGTGGGTGAAACTTGGATTTATTTCGGTCGAAACACGATTCTCAAAAACTAGGAATATCATTCCTAGCAATTCCTATTGTACGGACAATGATTCCTAATACAAGAAGCTTCTAGCCGGCTGCAATTCCGCGATTCCGGTTCCTAAAACGATTCGGGTTCCTAGACGTTTCCAACAACTATGTTCCAAACTGGGAAATATTGGTTTATTTATTCATTTTTGGAACTATTACTAATAAATTTTTTGGATTTCCTCTTTGATTGAAAAATAATTAGATTCCGGCATTTCAAATTTGAATGGACAACACTCTTGTTTATATGAAGAAGGCAGTCATTTTCCCATTTGTATACTATATATGTTATTGCTTTCTTCAAGTATATCAATTGTGATTTAGGTTGTCTTTTCGCATCCTGGTTCAATGACAAAATGGATGAGATAGTCTATTTTAGCCATTTTCTTTGAAACGCCTTAGGGTCTGTTGTCATTTTGGGAAGAAAATATCTCTCAAAAGATTATTATTAATAATGCAGAATGGATGCAATCTTGATTTGTTGATTTAGTGTTTGATGTCATTTGTCTATACAGATGCCAGGTACAATCATGGCTATGGGGCGCCTTAATCGGCCTGGGATCATGATTTATGGCGGTACGATTAAGGTCAGTAGCTTAAATATTATTCATTCCTTGTTTTTCTGGGCATCTAACCTTTTGATATCTGGAAAATTTTAAAATGTACAGAGTACAATGTTTCATTGAAATTTTGGCCGCATAAGACTGGTGGCTGCTTTCCTTGGCAGTATATTTGTTTTATTTATTTATTTTTTTTGAGAATAATTCCTTAGCAGCATGTTGTACATTTTTTTTTCTTTTTTTTTTGTGTCACCTTCACTTGTTCTAGAAACTAATTGGAAATGTATTCATTTCCAGTCAGTCTATTATATTTGCATTTGGAATATTTATTTCTTGCCAAAAATTCTAGTTTGAGTTATCATCCTTCAAGTAGTGTTACATGGATATCAACAAGTCTGGTATGTGTCAGGGTGTTTGGTACTGAGGCTAAAAAGTCAGTACTTCCCAGCATGTCTGTACGGACACTATTTTGAATTATATAGTTATATACGATATGATTTCATGCTAACTTGCATCTAAGTTAAAAAGGTGTGATTGCAAGCAGTGTTGTTGAGATGACCTTCTGTTCAAGAGGTTGCATTTGCAAAACTGCTTTTAATCTTGAATAAGATAACTTTAATATTGTATATAAGATAATATTCTTACATTAAGCCTAAGTTAAAGTGGCAGAGCGGTAGAGGCTGGCTTTACGCACAAGTGATTATAGGTTCAATTTACTGATTTTGTACCTTTCTTTTATTTCAAATAAGATCATATTACATTTTATAATATACTGTCCTGATATTGCAATAAAGCCAAAGTGGCAGAGTGGTACGACTTAGGGGGCTTAGGCTTTATTCCCATGTGTTCTTAGGTTCAAACCGTAACTTTGGACTGTTGGTTTTATATTTTTGTTTTAATACAAGCTCAAAGGAAAAAGGTTCAAGAAAAAAAGCTGGTTGCCTAGATTCAAACCCTTGACTTTACACCAATGCTAAAATGTTTGCTCTACCATATAATCCTCTTCATTATAGTGTTAGAAAAAGATGGCATTTAATTAAAAGGTGTGGTTTCCATAAGGTTGCAACCTTAAACAATCCAACTAAGGTGCACCTTCAAATTTTATCATAATATATAATTTTGATGTAAAAATGTTCTTAGGATTATCTCAAAATCTATTTTTATATCCAATTATAAAATTTTAAATTTCAAAAGTGGTTGAAATCAAGTAGATCTATAAACATATGAAAATCTTGAAAATGGATGGTGTAGATAATATGTTGTAAGATGTACTATTTCTGAGACTCAAAATCTTTTTATTTTTCATAGTCACACATCTCGATGTCGAGATGATCAATTACAGGGTTTTTCAACATTAAAATAACCTTTTCCGATGGATTTTTGAGGTGCATCCATAGTTCTACATTTTAAGGTTGCAATCTAATATAAAATTTTTCCTTAATTAAACCATATTGATATATATTTAAGAAAGGGTGCGGTTTGTATAGTGCCTAGGCTCTAAACAATCAAATTAGAGCCTACCTTCGAAAAGTGTCGAGAAATGTGGTTTCAATATTGAAAATCTTTGTGATGACCTTAAAATATATTTTCACTTTTATTTATAAAGTTTAAAGCTTAAAAAATAATGTAGATTGACATATCTATGAAAACTTTAAAATCTTGAAAATTGACGGTCCAAAAATGCGTTACAAAATACACTATTTCCACAACTTGAATCCATTTTTTTCTCATGTCCATGCATATTGATATCGAGATGATCAATTTGAGGATATTTGGGGCATCGAAACAACCTCTGCTAGTGAAATTTTTGAGCTAGGCTCTTAGTTGATTGTTTAGAGCCTCGGCTCTATAATCAAGTTTCGGTGATGTATCTATGCATGTTGACACATGTCACTATGTGAATAACACAATGTCTAGGTAACACTGTGTTCAAGGTTTCATACTTTTCTTTTTGACCTCATGATCGATTATTAAGGCCATTCCATATTTGCTGGGATCGGGAGTGCAGGATTGTGAAAGGCTAGAAGATCTATATGGTTGGGAGAGCCGCCATACAATGCATATGTTGGGGATCAAGATCCCTAAATCTTAGGGATCTTGATCCTGACCTTCTAGGGATCTCGAGCCGACCTTTTGCTTCTCAATCCCAAACTTTTGGAGATCTTGCTCTTATCCTTAAAGAATATATATAGAGTCTAGGACTATATATACGCTTTAAAGTAGGTATCTCTTTATTTATAGCCAGCAAGCAATGCCACTATATTAAAAGTATAGTTGCATTGCTAGTTGGCTATAATTTAAGAAAGTTATTAGTTTGGTCGTTATTTTGGCCTTTTTGGTAGGGATTGAGATCCATGCCTTTTAATAGTATTTTGTCAAGGAACAATGAGACTATGGATGTTCCTTCTGATCTTACTTTCCATATTAATTTCTCCAAGTTAGTGTGGCTAAAGATGCTACTTTTTTTTCTCTATGGGAGAATTTGTCTCATGCAAAGTCTTTAACCATAACATTGAGCTGGAACTCTTGGGAAAAACCAATATTTTGTAGGAATAATTGTTAGAATGACTTTTGCAATGCCCATTGAAAGAAAGAATCATTGGGGAAGGACATCCATTGATGTTGTGGATCACCTCCTCTGATTTCACTAGGTGTGTTTTGGAGCAGTTAAAATGAAATTTATTTGCACTTATAAATTCGAAACAACTTTATTATGAACTGCTTATAGATTAATTTCTACATTGAATGTGGTACTTTACTAGGAGTAGCATATCTAATTTTTTTGTTTGTAAATTTGACATGCATCTCATTCAAGGATAGCAGTACATATTGGTAAGACAATCTTTTGAAGAAGCTGTGTGTTATTGAGAACTGTAGTGCCCAAGGGGGGCCGAGGTATTCAGGTATAGGACAAGCAGCATTTTCTCATGTATAAGATTATGTTCAAATCCATTATAGTTCATATGGTCATTGAGGAAAACAAATTTTGCCTCCAAAATGCATCGCCCTAGTATTTTGTTTTGTTTTTTTTTTGTACTAGGCCAGTATAGTTTGTCTGATTCTTGGAATTAATAAGATCTTATTGTTGACTTCGGTTTGTTTCCTCTTATTGTAATACAGTCTGGCCATTTTCAAGGTCGTCCTTATGATATAATTTCTGCCTTTCAGGTAATTTTCATATCTTTTTCTTGATTTTGAAATTTTTTGTAGCATGATTTCTATTCTTGTACTTTTGATGGCCATATCCTAGGGCTATTGATAGGGGTAGCAATCAGGTTAGGTCGCCGAACGGGGTCCAGGTTGGGGGTCATCTCGACCCGGTATAAAATATATAAAAAATATATTATACAATGCAAAAAAAGGAATTATTTTATTTCTTTTAATTTCTAGACCTTGATTGGGTTCGGGTTTGGGTCCAAATGATTGGGCCCCGGGTTGGGTCCACGTCCGACCTGGACACAACCCGACCCATTGACACCCATAGCTACTGCCATACATACGAATGATAAAGCTGTAATATATTACACATATTCACTGATCTGCCCTTGTACTCTAAAATACACCAAGAAACATATTAAATTTACTTTGTTCGCATCACCCATCAAATGGTACTGAATGTCAGTTAGGAAAGAGCTTGGTAATAGAAAGTAATGATGAGAAGGAGGCATAGCTTTAGTAATCAAATTTTCTCTCTGGTAATTGCTAGATGCGTAATGATAAGAGCTGTAAGTTCGTCACTGATGAAGTGGCAATTGACCTCAATGTTCTTCATTTATTCATGGAAAACATTATTTTATATGATGTGAATAAGATTAAGTTGATGTTGCATCTTACATGTCAAAAGAAAAAAAAAAGGAGTTGGTGTTGCATCTTAGACTTGTATTCTTATATTTCTTAATGGCTTCATTATGAATGTTGTGGTCAGTGCTATGGAGAGTATGTTAGTGGGTCAATCAATGATGAGCAAAGGATGAATGTCGTGCGAAATTCATGCCCTGGTGCAGGGGCTTGTGGAGGCATGTACACAGCCAATACCATGGCTTCTGCTATTGAGGCAATGGGCATGACCCTTCCATACAGGTGAATTTAGTTATGCTATTTTTACACCTAATTATAAATTTAGTTATGCTATTTTTACAACTAAATTAGGAGTATAAACTTGTGCGTTTCATATAATTATTATTTTATGTTTTTGTTTGTTTGTTTCATGTGAAGCTCATCAACACCGGCGGAAGACCCACTAAAGCTGGAAGAGTGTCGTCTGGTTGGTAAATATCTTTTGGAATTGATGAAATTGGATTTGAAACCAAGAGACATTATCACTCCAAAGTCTTTGCGTAATGCAATGGTGATTGTTATGGCCTTGGGTGGGTCTACAAATGCTGTGTTGCATTTGATTGCCATTGCAAAGTGAGTGAGTAATTCTTCTATTATTTATGGTTGTTTCATTTGTCATCATAAAAGATGCATTTGTCTTATGGGAAAGGTGTTTAGGGTTGGCTTTATATATTTTGCAGATCAGTGGGTCTCCAACTGACTCTCGATGATTTCCAGAAAGTTAGCGATGCAGTGCCTTTCATCGCAGATCTCAAGCCAAGTGGGAAATACGTAATGGAGGACGTGCACAAGGTTTGCCATTGAGGATATAGCTAGAACTGCTCTTTTCATTTTATCAGATTTTGTGAACCATCTGAGATGCACCTTGACTTCAAAAATTTTTCCTCAACTGTCAGAAAACAGGAAGTTGTTTTCATTTTGATTAATTGCTTTTGGTTGTTGGTTTCTGAATATTTTTAGGTTTCGATTTGGAGTTTTTAATTTTATTATATTTTAATATTTGTAGATTGGAGGAACACCAGCAGTTATTCGCTATCTCCTAGAAGAAGGCCTTTTGGATGGGGATTGTATTACTGGTGAGTATGCTTACAGTAATATATGTAGCTAGAATTCCCTTTTGATCTGTTCTCTCCATCTGAGCATGGTTGGGGTTTTGTAGTCACTGGAAAAACACTAGCCGAAAATGCAAAGATTTGTCCTGCCTTGGCGGAAGGTCAGGTACGACTGTCGAACATCTTAAATGAATGAGAACTCTTATTGAATATATTCATATGGAGATTTTCAAAAAAGATCAGGCGTCAACCTTCTGGTTGTTTGTTTTTCAGCAAGTCATCAGACCTTTAGGAAATCCTATCAAATCAACAGGACACCTCCAGATATTATATGGCAATGTTGCACCGGGGGGTTCTGTAGCAAAAATCACAGGAAAAGAAGGGTTATTTTTTTCAGGTAGTTTCTATTTTATTTGATGATTTAGTTAAATATATTTTTCTAGTTTCGATTTGTTTAGTAGAGTTGAATGATGTGCCTTTGGAGGCAGGTTCTGCTCTTGTTTTTGAAGGCGAGGAATCTATGTTAGCAGCTATCTCTGCAAACCCACAAAGCTTTAAGGTACCTTGATACACGCAAACGTGCAATTTGTAGGACCTCATTAGTCCCTGAGTTTCATAAAGGTTTTGATAAAAAAGTTGTTCAGATTTGTTTGTTGGAATGAAGGGTCCAATTTCCTGAAAGATATTGTTAGTTTACCTTGAGGGTAAAATTGAAGATATTCCTCTCTCCATGTTATGTTGTTTACTTACTTTTGTTTTGTTTCCTCCGTGCCAGGGCAAAGTTGTTGTAATTAGAGGAGAGGGACCTAAAGGGGGACCGGGCATGCCTGAAATGCTAACACCAACAAGTGCTATAATGGGTGCTGGTCTTGGAAAGGTATATGCTCATTGATTTTTCTTGATGGACACTTGGTCTGCTTTAAAACGTTCTTTCTTTTTTCTTTTTTTTTTTGATATTTCTCCTTTTGAAAGCTACTGTTATGGTAATCGACTGTGTTAGTATCATCAACATTACTCCCACGTTTTATTTTGGAAGGATCTTAATTGTTTTTTTGGTTCTTTTCTTATCTTTTGATTCTCTAAATTCCTAACTGTGCTCTTTATTGTCCTAACAAATGCATATATTAATCGAATCTCCCTGCCCCCTACACTACATCCCCTCCCACAACCACCACCCACCCAAAACACCTCTCTTCACCATGGTCGCACAAAATGCGGACTTCTACTAATGACCAAATTTATCCACATTGAGCTATGGAAGAATGAAATGTCCTTTGAATTGTTAATATTCTTGTTTTGTTTGACAGGACATGACATCTATAATGCTCCTTGATACTGTCCTGGTCAATGGGTGTATTTCATCATTTAATGTATGCGTATGTGGATTTATTCAAAATATTGATTGCAAAACCATCTGATAAGCCCATATATGTTTCAGGAAGTAGCATTGTTGACAGATGGGAGGTTTTCAGGAGGTTCACATGGATTTGTTGTAGGGCATATATGCCCTGAAGCACAGGTATGCCATTTGATTTTTTTTTTCTTCAAAGATGTCAACTTGTATGTCATTTGATATTTTTTTTTCTTCAAAGAAGTGAATTTGTATGTCATTCGATGTTTGTATTGTTTTGAAGCATCAGAAGAATGGTGTCTTTATTCTTTTGTTGGATGGTCATTCATTCTCTTAAAAATTATCTGGCTTTTGCAAATGAGGATTCGAATCACACTAAAGTGAATTGATACTTCTCTTAAAAATTATCTGGCTTGTTGGATGGTATATGAGAGGAATATTTGTGCTGTATAAATTATGTATTTTTATGGCTAATGAACAAGATACCTGGACATCTCCTGATGCTGTGATGGTACTTGGATCATATCCTTCTCTTGGTTAAGGCTTTATTTGCAAGTGAGATAATTTAAGACAGGTAATTGATTATGCGCTGCACTCTATTGCATTTCTTGCAATAAGGATGGAAAGGGTAGGGGGCCCCATTTCATTCAGAATGCACAATGCTTCTTATTAGCCACATTTTGCATGACCATGTGAATGTGAAAGAAGGAATGATGAATATAAGTGAATGACAAAGACCAAATGTAATACTGATGTTGATCAATCCAAAACTGTAATACTAATGATGGGTGGGCTTGATTCCGAAATTATGATGCATAAACGGTATTTGATATGGAGCAGCTTGAGAATCAAGCTAAGAGGTGTGTCATGGTGGATATACTGGATGTGGAAGAGTTGTGTCTGTAACATGCTTCTGTTTTATTTGGGAGGCTACACACTGATTGAGCAGCATTCTTGGTTTTAGCATCTCTTTCAGTTCTTCTTGTGGGAATACTTGAATAGATGATATGTTGAGGACTGGACGAAATCCTTTACTGCACTGCATGAATATTTAGCAAATAGATGAGATAAATAATGCCTATGGATATGGATGATCTTTTGTCAGTGTAGGCTGAGTACCCCCTTTTTTTTTTTGGACTAGTGTGGGTTGAGTATATCCTTTTTCCAGTGGTTTTGACTTGTCCCTCATGGTTGAAGTCAAATTTGAGAGTCATCTTATCGCTTTCTTCATTTCTGTTAATTGACTATACCATTTTTTCTGTGGCCCTAAATGAGAGCATATTTTTATATGCAAACTGGAATTATTTTATATCATTGTCATTCGAAGCGAGAGTCAGTATGGAGGATGGTCGGTGGCAAGAAGCTCCCTAGTACGGGAGACTAGAAGTGCTCTTCCAGTAAATATATAAAAACATGATTTTTAAAAAACAAAAAATGGCTCTTATAATTATATTTAGATCAATAATAAATATCTCTAGTAATTTTAAGACTCATTTATTTATTCAAGTGAGTCTTATCATGCAAAAGCTGTGCATAATAAGACAACATAGTTATTTATTTGATTAGCACATTGTAAATTCTAATGACAGATATCAAGAGATTTGAACCTTAGCCTTGAGCAATCATTTTCATTAAAGAAAATGATGTTAATATATTTTAGTATAATAAGCACAGCCCTTTTCTTCTCTTATCTGTTACAAATTTTTTTTGATAAAAAAAATAGAAACTTAAGCATGATAAAAAGAGAATAACATTGAGAGATAAATAGAGATGAATTTTCATCTAAATTTTCAAAATTTGGACCAAGGGCGCTTCTTTTAATGCAATTCTCTGACCACTACATTGAGGACGTCCTATTTGTGATTGATATTTCCCCTTAGGAATATATAGCATGTGTGGATTTGCATCAAGACTATCTGAATTGATTTATTGACATGCATTGAAGTCCATCCTTTTTTTGATAGATATGGATTGTAGTGTTTCTTTCCCACTGCAGAATTTATGGAACATGATTTTTTTATATTATTACTTTTTTTTTTTTTATTGAAATGCATTTAAGAAAAAGGGATTGTCTACAAAGAGACCATTTATCTTTTCTACATGGAGGTCACAATCATTCTTATCTCTTAAATTTCAAAATGGGTGGTTGTAAGAGTGTGTCATTGAATAGACACAAAGTTCCAAAAAAAAGATTCTCAGACTTCGTGACTCACCCCAAGCCATCCAATTTGACATCTAATGAGTGAAAATGATTGTGACGTCCACATAGTTTCAAAAAGCGCTAGGCGGGTCCTAGGCCGCCTAGGGCTTCCAGGCAGCCCAGCGCCTAGGCGGGCGCCCAGAGCCTGGGCGGCCCAGTCGAATCCAAAAAGGATGCCCAGTCAAATATGTGTCTAAGGACTCAAAATCTTCTAAAAAACCCCTCAATAGATTTATAAAACATCAAAATTTAAATCTAATATCAATGGGTGATGTTTTGATCAATTTTTATTAACTTTGAAAAAAAAAACTTTTCCGCCTCTGGGCAGGGCGGCAGCCTAGGTGGGGCGCAGGCCCTGAGTGGCCGTCTTGGATTGGGCGCTGGGCGGCCGCCTAGGCGGGTTCTGCTGGTACAGAAACCGCCTAAGCGGCTGCCCAGATTGGCCGCCTAGGCCTGGGCAATGCGCCTAGGACTTTTGAACCTCTTAGGCACTAGGCGGTCTGCTTTTTGAATCACTGGACGTCCATGTATAAAAAATAAAGGGTCTCTTTGTAGACAATCCCTTTAAAAAATACATTAACATGGGTGTGAGTTATATTGACCAATCCTTAAGGGATTGGGATCATGTTCCCTCCATGTGGGAGCATTATCCACCCATGATCGCACTTTGGGAATGTGCAATCGCCACCATGTGGACAATCCTCTTCGTTTGCAGTCAGTTTAAATTTCCCCTACCTGGATAGTTAGAGCAGCATCCCATTTTAATTAGTACAACATGAAAGAGAAGATTTCATGGGGCCTTTTCTGTCCTATGCAAAAGTTGCTTTATTGGCCATTTCATTAACCGCTTCAATGCTGAAGGACTCGCAAGCACTGCTGCCTTGACCACCATCTTAATGATAGCCAAATAGTTAGATATAATCAAGCTCTTTACAAACGCTGCTTGAAGTTGATGCAAATCAATATTTGGATGCTACAAATTTTTAATTTTATTTTTGTAAATTTTATTTTCGTTAATTTTATTTTTAGAGGTTTGGTAGACTTTTTATTTTTATTAGAGTTAATTCTTTTAGAAATAGGATTAGTATGAGTTTTTTTTTTAGTTTATCTTGATAAGTCCGTTTTTTGTTTCCTTTATTTTCTCACATGAGTTGGTTTTATATAGGTTTATCTTAAGTTGATGTTCATCTTTTATTTGGAAGAACTATTTACGAAGGGTTCCATCTAAAGAGATTGAAGTGAGATAGAATGAATGGGAGGTCATGTAGATGGAAAGAAAGATCGGAATTTGTTTTAAGGTTATTTACTAAAAAGGAAAGGAAGTAGAAGGACAGTTTTTCTTGTTGTTTTATTTGGAAGGTGATGGAGTTCTTATCTTTTGCACTTAGGGAAATCTTTTGGAAGGTGTTGGCCCTTTATAAAAGAAAGATCGTACAATGTATTGAGGGGGATTGAATTTTATGAATGAAAAAAGAGTGATCTTTGAGATCGTGTAGAGTGAGAGAGAGAGCCATCTCCCCGCCTAAAGTGCAAGCATTCAACTGGATTGCTTGCTCTCAAAGAGTTTTTTTTTTGATAACTTTGCTCTCAAAGAGTTCTCACTGTGGACCTGCTTCAAAGAAAAGGATCCCGATTCCCAACTGGTGTGTTGTGTACTGTGCTTGTGTGAGGAGGAATTGAACCCACACTTGTTCCTTCGCTGTAGCCTAGCCCACAACCTTTGGAGTCTCTTAATCTAGCTGTTTGGCCTCTCACGGGCCACTCCACTCTCTGTCCCGATTCTCATCTCTTTGTATCACGTCTCTCACTGGCCGAAAGCTGGAAGAATCCTGTGGAAGGCAGCCATCGCAGCCTCAATCTGGGTTATTTGTCTAGAAAAGAACTCCAGGATCTTCCAAGGCCTCAAGAATGAAGTCCCAGCACTCTTCCATAAGGTTACTTCCTTAGTAATCTTCTGGGCCTCTAATCACAGGACCTTTAACGGGATATTGGCTAACACGTTCCTCAGCCAATGGGAAAATATTCTTAAGTTCCAACCACACAAGGTTTCAAGACCCAACAATTGGATGCCTCCACCGGAAGGCACCATCAAGCTGAACTTTGATGGTTGCTCTTTGGGGAACCCAGGCCCAACAAGAACCGGAGGCGTTTACCGAGACCATTGCGGTAATGTCCTGGCCACCTATTTCGAGCCTGTAGGCCATGAAGATTCTCAGTTTGCTGAATCCATGACTCTGCTCTTAGGACTTAAAAGATTTGACTTTTCTTGGGGATCTCAGTTGTTTCTGGAGGGGGATGCTCAAAATATCATTTCATGGGCCGTTGGGGTTACACCACCTCTGTAATACCTATCCTCAATATTTGATGAAATACCTTACACCTGCAGGGATATGATTGTCTCATGGAAGCATATTTGAAGGACATCGAACGAGTTCGCAGATCTTCTGGCAAAGGGCGGAGCTAAAGCCCAAGCAGATGCACTTGCTTAAATGTGACTTTTCGATGTTTTGGTCAAACTTTAGTCGTTGGTCGATCGCCTTTTTTGCTCTGGACCGCCGTTGGTGCATTGTATTTTGTTTTTTTCAGCACTTTGTTTCTAATCAGGGCGAGTCTATAAGCCCCAATTTTTTGTATAGGGTCACTGTGTTCTGACCTATTTTTTGTCCAAGAGACCCTGTCTGTGGGTGCTCTCTGTTAACACTCTTGTTCCGTGATACTCCTCCAGTAATACAAAGTTAACTTTACTCAAAAAAAGAGAGAGAGAGAGAGCCCTTTGTGGGTCTTTTTTTTCTTCTCCTTTGCTTATAGGTCCGTGTTGGAATACTCGTATCCGTACGTTTTGTTTGGTCTTCTTGTGATTTCCTTCACGGTTTTTATTTCTCTATCTAAAACGTGGTTAATTTCTTCGGTGTTGTTTGCCGGGTAATTTTATACTGCGTCAGGTGGTATCAGAGCGTAGTCGATTCTT